TCTGCCTTCGGCTCGGGTCATGATCCCGGGGTCCTGGGATCAAGCCCCACATCAGGCTCCCTGCTCAGTGGAGAGCCTGCTTCTCCCTCTCCCTCTGCCTGCCGCTCTGCCTACCTGTGCTCTCTCTCTATCGCTGTTAAATTAAAAAAAAAAAAACTTAAAAAAAGAAAACTGTTATAAATTCATTCTAAGTTGTAAATGACTAATAACTCATAATATTTTCCAGGGAGCGTTTGCCTTTTAATGAGAGACATAGTTAGCAAAAAGGCATTAATTGTCAAATTTCAATCAGCAATGCATTAGGAATATTACTTTGAAATCAGGCAACTGAAGAGGCCAACTGGAATCCCTAATATATGTGGTATGTGCCTCAGAAGCTTGGTCCCAGCTCTTCTCCTTCCAAATGAAAAAACAAGGGTCCTTGCCTACACTAACAAACTATGAGACCAAAATATAGATGGCCGCCTTGGTCACCCACTTAGGAGGTATATATAGGGAGGCTTTTGAAATATTTAGGATTTAAAGCTCACCTACTTCCCAAAAGATTTTTAAAACAATGGATGAAAATTTAAACAATTCAATTAGGGGCACCTGGCTGACTTAGTAACAAGAGTGGGCAAATCTTGATCTCGCGGTTGTGATTTAGAGCCCCACATTGAGAGTAGAAATTACTTAAATAAACTTAAAAAAATATATTTAAAAATTCAATTTAAAAAAGCACAGAATAAAAACAGTTTATAGTGTCTGAAAAATAGATATAAAGATCGTGAAGCAATTAATTTACATTTTCCTCCTAGAACACGGCATTATTTTTTACTCAACAAAAATGTACTGATTGTATCTCTCACAGCACTTCCCACAGTAGGTGTTTAAAATGAGCAAATTTGGGGCGCCTGGGTGGCTCAGATGGTTAAGTGTCTGCCTTCTGCTCAGGTCACGATCCAGGGTCCAGGGATTGAGCCCCACGTCGGGCTCCTGGCTCAGTGGGGAGCCTGCTTCTCCCTCTCCCTCTGCCTCTCTCCCTGCTCATGATCTCTCTCTCTCCATATCTCTGTGTCGCAAATGAATAAATAAAATCTTTAAAAAAAATAATAAAATGAGCAAATTTAATCAAAGTACATCAACTTCAGGGTTTAACCATTTCTTCCTAAGAAACTTGTGGAAATCAGTACACAAATTATGAAGTATTGGGCAAATTCCAAAGCAACAGTATATTCTGATAACTGATTTTTCCACTTAGCCATTTAAAGCATCTCAGACCTGAAGTACATTATGTACATTAAGTGTTATCGCTTTATAATGTATTTAGAACTCAACAGACTCCCTTTCCCCTCACCTCACCATCAGATGATCCACATAGGTCGAATTTGGTGTCAAGCAAATTAAAAGTGTTATTTTATTATCCAAAGTAATTGTTTCAGTATTAACAGGCCATTATGCTGAATTGGTTATGCTGGTGATTATGCCATTAAGAATGTGGGGCTAACTACTGGTTTAGCTGAATGCCCATGTTTGTGAAAGCCTTCTTTAAGCTCTCCTATAGGTGGCAAATCATCCTTAACTGGGTACTCCAAATGGTCTGTGTACCTCAGATGTATTTTTCTAAGCCATTAACACATTGAAGCCCCTCCCCCAATTCCCTAAGCAACCATTAATTAACAGTGTAAGAAGATAGAATCAGGCCTCCCATTGCGATGCGGCTGGGACCAAACCTTTCAGCAATGATCTTGCTCAGAACTAGACAGTCATTGTATGAGATCTCCTATTCACATCAAATATGCTATCATGGGGGGTGGGGGTGCTGGGAAGGAAGGGTGTTAGAACAGTGCTTTTATTGAGCTTTTTTTAAAAAGATTTATTTATTTATTGAAGAGAGAGAGAGAGAGCAGGAGCAGGGGGAGGGACAGAAGGAGAAGCAGACTTCCCGCTGAGCAGGGAGCCTGACCCGGGCGGGGCTCCATCCCAGGACCCCGGAATCATGACCTGAGCCAAAGGCAGACACTTAACCAATTGAGCCACCCAGGCACACCATGAAGAGCAGTTTTTAAAAATCTGCGGGCTATGGATATGTTTTTGAAGGCTTCAAGGTAACTCAACCTTGTGAGGAATTCTGAAATGAACTGCTTAACCTGGCCCTCAAATAGTTCCCATATCTGAGGACTCACTAAGTGCTAAGCCCTATATAAGGTGATTCAGGTAGCATCACTGATGCTTACAGATTCTTGCCAGGTTTCCTGTTTTACAGATGGAGAAAAGAAGCTTAGAGAGGAGAATCTACCCTCATGGCAACCTGGAAGTTACGTGAAAGATCCACTTGGTAGGCTTCTATTGCATAGCAACTCCCTAGAACACCACAATCCAGCTCTGAGCTTACAGTCAATGGCAGAGGGTAGCACATACCTAAGAACTATATGATTAATCATAATACCAACAAAACACCCAGAAACAAACATCATGAGAAACAGGCAAAATCTGTGATACACACTCACAAAGGGACATTCTCACCTAAGACTCAGAATTGTGAAGAAACCAATTCTCCCCCCAAAGTAATCTATATATAAAATGCAATTCTAATGAAAATCCCAAAAGGATCTTCTTTGAACCCTTAAAAAATGATTCTAAAATCTATCTGGAAGAATAAACACTCAAATAGCCAGAAAAATTCTAAAAATGAATAGTAATGAGATATTAAAATGTGTGGTCCTGGCACAGAAATGTACGGAGCCATCAAATGACCATGGCAGAGCCCAGAAAGTATATATGGACATTTAGTACATAATAAAAGCAGCACTTTATATCAGTGGGAATAAGATAAATTATTCAAGAAATGATCTTGAAAAAACTAGCTAGCCATTTGGAAAAAATAGAGCTGGATCCTAGTCTCATTCTTTATACTGAGTTAAATTCCAGAGGGATCAACAATTTAAATGTAAAAATTGGAACTGTAAAAGTAATAGCGGAAAAAAGAATAAAGATTTTTATTATCCAGGAAAAATGGCAGTCTTTCTTATCATGAGTCAAAGGCCAGAAATGAAAAGGGAAAACCTGATACATTTTATTTCATTAAAAAAATGTAAAATCCCTGTAATAAAAAAAAGCAAATGACGAACAGAAAAATAATTGCAACAAACATGATTTGCAAAGAGTTAATATCACTAATCTAAAGAGTGTATAAAATACTTTCTTTATATTTTCCCAAAAAATCACTTGTTTTTTTACAGTGAACATATACCATTTTTCTACCAAGAAAAATAATAAAACTTTTTATTTTTTAAATGAAATATTTGTTTAACCATGCCTATTTCCTCCAATATATAACTTTCAATATTTAAAGGAACAGAGCAATCACTTTAGATCACACTTTGCAACCCTAACCACAGGAGGTCTCAAAGTTGGATGTGCTTAAGAATCATCTGGGAAGGTTTTACTGCTGATAAAGGGGTAAAGGAATTTGCCCTTAAAATTTAACAAGCGTCTTGATGTGTCTCACCTGTTAATCTCACTTCGAAAACTATCATAGTAGCATCTCCAATTATAGAACATTTTACCCTGCAAAAAAGTACACTGAGAGACTGTCTTGAATTCAGCAGGAGATGAAGAAAGATCTGGTGCTTCTTAAAGCAGCTCCATTGGCCATTGAAGAATTGCTTTCTCTGTCTCCTAGTTTTGGTGGCCTCTTAAGATCTGATGTTAAAATGTTGGTGCCAAATAAAACTTATTATCTAGGTTTTATCCTCAAGCTCTCTTACATTTTATGCCAGAAAACCAATTCTGTGTATGACACTGCATTCTCCATTGCTCTATGATGTGAAGTATGGACTCTGTCTTCTGCAGTTAAATGACCTTTGTAGGAATTCAATCTTCTGCGTATAGTCCGAATTTCATTTACTGAAGATGCCATATATGTCTTCTAAGGTGAAAAAAAAATTGAATTCCTTAATGGAACTTTCCTGCTTTATCTTGACAATCTGTTCTTTTTTTCATAAATTTGGAATGACTTTTCCAAGTTTCTATTGGCTCTTCGTTCCCTCCTCCTCAGTTTTAATTTCAGTGTTAGGAGCTTCACAGGCTTTAAGTATTGAGACACTAGTACAGTTCACAAGGTATGTGTGATTTATTCAAATCTATTTTGTTGGAATAGAAACTTAAGATTTCAAGTCAATTGATGACACGTCTGGATTTAAATGAGGTCTACTCTGAGAGATCTTCCTATAATTAGGTTTTTCGAAGGATGTGATGGCCTTAGAAATTGATCACTGTTTCTAATTTTTTTCTCTTTTTTCATGTTTTAGTGACAAGCAGTTAGGTCCTACCACCTACATATTTAGGCTTGCAGTAATTTCTCTCTTTATAAGTAGGTATTGTCATACTAGGTAAAAATAATTCTGTTACCTTTTTATATTTTATCTAACATTGAGTCCTTCCTTCCTTCTTCATTCATCATTTGATTAGTTCCTATTGACAACCTAGACATGATCTAGTTACTTTGCTAGATCATAAGCATATAAAAATTTTTGGACATCAATTCTAGGTGATATAATTTTGTTCTTTCCCAAGCTTCCCCAAGAAGGAATCAAACTTCACAATCACAACAGAGTTTCAGAAATATCAACTATACAACTACTATGAAGTTAATCTCAATAATCTTGGTAAATCATGGCCATGAAAAAATTCCAGGGTGATGTCTTACCAGTCAGGCCCTCACAACTAGCATTTACCTGTTGCTCACGACTCTCAGGTGTGTACTTTTGGACCTTCTGGTCTTTGCTGGTATACAAATACATGAGCTCCAGACACCTGAAGAACATATGTCGTGCTCTGCCAGTTGCTCTACCTCATACTGGTTAAGGGACACATTCTTCCACAATGACCATTCCTTCAAAACAATGTTTACTCTCCTCATGGAATCTGGGAGTAAATCATTATGAAAGACTGTTGTCTGAACAAGGACTGCATGTCCCCAAAATCCCAACAATGATTAGTGATTGCCACCTACTTACCTACACAGTAAGAATTCTCTTTCTTCATACTCTCAACAACCTTGTGCTTCTGTTTGATATCTGAGAAAATTAGAAATTTATTCTCATCACCCAGGCTTTGTTCCATGCCAATGAAAATAGCAAATTTGGTTTGTCAGGAGTTCCTCTTGGAGGTCATTGCCAAGGATTCCACATAAGAGGTGATCTCATGGGAAACTTTGTTGTAAATCCCCAACATCAACATGTGGGGCAGATGGCTCAACCCTGTGAGGTTTCAGCAGAGCCTCTCAGACCTCTTGCTTTCATTTGTAAAATTCAAGACACTGAACAGGGACCAGTAGGGATGACAGGACATCCTTCTTCCATAATTCAATCATTTCATCTAACTTCCTAATCTTAGGCTAGTCACTGGTCACAAGAGATGTTATTGTGCCACATATTTGGTCCTAGGGGAAGTCTGCTTGTGTTTATTTTGTTTTCTTCTAGATAGCCTCAAATACAACATGGAAAACCCTGAGCCTAAAAATTAGGGGAATTACGTAAAGTTCATCTGGAAGTCAGCACAGACTTAAACCAAGTCTCTCATTCTTTTGGGCAAGATGAACTGGCTAATAATTCTCAAAGAGTACTGGTATCAGCTTGGAGGGAAGTCTCTAATAAAAAAGCCACAGGGTTCTCTCTGTCTTTAGATGTTGCCTTAGTCCAAAGTTTCACCCTGCCACAGACAAGGACATGGATGGCATGCTTATCAAATCTTATGAAATTTATTCAGCGTATGAATCCAAGAAACAGGACACTTGACATCCAACTCCGCAATATACTTCGGAGAAACAATTTAAGCAGTGTCTGTCCAACTTCCAGTAAAGATATGATCTAGTTGCATCCGAAGAGTAATTATCAAAAGATTTACACTGCCTGCTATTGTTTTGTTTTCTTCTTCATTCTCATTAGTATCTTTTGTGGGGGGGGGCAGGACTACTAAAAAGTATATGCAGTCTTGAGATCACAGTAAGTGGCCATGGTAGTTAGTTCCAGCAAATTACAACAAGCCACTTCCTACCATCTTAAAGGAACACCCTGAAATATCACACAGTGCACCTTGGCACACAGAACAAAAGATAAATAAAGTCCTTGCAGGCAAGTTCAAATCCTGTAGCTGAAAGGCGATAGAATTTTAGAAATATTTTAGAAATTATGTAGCCTACATGTTCCATTTTACAAATGTGGCACTTTGAAGCTAGAGGATTTCCATGACTTTTGAATGCCCCACTGCAATTCAGATTTAGAGCCTGAGTGAGAACCCCACTTCTTCCTTATGCCTCACTCCCTTCATGCTCCAGAATGACTGACTCAATGCCTCCTCGGAAGTAGGCAGCGCTTTCCTTTCTGCTCCCCTTCCTCTCTGTGAGCCATTCACACCAGCATTCCCACAACCACAATTGTGGTTTCCTCTGTCTAGAAATCCTACCCTGTTGCTATGGAAACGGTTCCCTAATCATCCTCCAAGACCCAGCTCAAATAAACTTTGAGGAAACTATTTACTCCATCAGAGTTAGTTGCTTATTGTTCATTTTGCCCATATTATGTGAATTTTCAGACTGGTTTACATTCCCCTGTGTCTCCTCCTGTGAGCTGCTAGAAGAATTAAGTGTCAGCCATCTTGAATCCCCAGCCTCAGGTAGAGCCTGGTATATAGCCACGTATGCAGTGGACAATAAATGGCCAAATTAAAACAAGCAAATAAACAGTAACAACAATAAAAACAACCCAAGGCCAGGCCTCACTCCATAAATCTGTAGAAGCCACAAAGATAACATGACAAAACTTTTGCTCTCAAGGGGCTTACAATCCAGTGGAAAAGTCACTTACAACTTCTCAGCAAATATTTCCTGAATGATGAATTAACGTGATTTAATTCCAACTCTCCCATACTATTATAAAATTCAACTGATGTTGGTGTGTTTTGTGGAGCAATCGCTTTTTATCTTGACTAACAGGACTTCCTACTTTGTAGTCTGACTTCTGCATTTCACTGCATTTATCACAGCCCCCAGGGCTGCGCTCTCACCATAAAGTTGTGCAGAAAACATGATGGGAAAATTCACTCGCACACATTAGAAGTGTCCCCCATGATAAATAATCATTGTATTGGCCTGGAGTGGGAAAATAGGCACACATACTGTTAGTTGGAGTATAAGACAGTATAATCTTTCTGTGGGGTACCTGGGTGGCTCTGCCGGTTAGGCATCCAACTCTTGATCTCAGCTCAGGTCTTGATCTCGGGGTCATGAGTTCAAGCTCTGTGTTGGGCTCCAGGCAGGGCGCCTACTTAAAAAAAAAAAAAAAAAAAGACAGTACAATCATTCTAGCGGCCAACTTGAAATATGCATCAACATTTTTTTTTAAAGATTTTATTTATTTATTTGAGAGAGAGAGAGAATGAGAGACAGAGAGCACGAGAGGGAAGAGGGCAGAGGGGGAAGCAGACCCCCCGCTGAGCAGGGAGCCCGATGTGGGACTCGATCCCGGGACTCCAGGATCATGACCTGAGCCGAAGGCAGTCGCTTAACCAACTGAGCCACCCAGGCACCCCTATGCATCAACATTTTAAATGTACATCTCTTTTTCCTAGCATTTCCACTGCTAAAAATTTACCCTACGAACATATTTGCACAAATCTGCAAATGTATAAGTATATTCGTTGCAGCAATGGCTGAAATAACATAAATTTTTAAATGGTTACATCCAGGGGCGCCTGGGTGGCTCAGTCGGTTAAGCAACTGCCTGCAGCTCAGGTCATGATCCTGGGGTCCCGGGATCGAGCCCCGCATCGGGCTCCCTGCTCAGTGGGGAATCTGCTTCTCCTTCTGCCCCTCCCCCCTGCTCATGCTCTCTCTCTCTCCCTTTCAAATAAATAAATAAATAAAAATTTTAAAAAAAAAAGGTTACATCCATACCCTGGAATTCCATGCAATCACTACAAAGAATGCAAGAGATTAAATGTGCTGAGGAGAGACATTTGATATATTATTAACTCAAAATTCAAAGCACTGAAGGGTATTGTTTAGTATTATCCCATTTGTGTAAACAAACAAACGATACATATATTTGTATATGTATACAAATTACTAAAAGGATATACCCAAAATATTAACAGAGGTTGTAACAATGGCTGGTATAGAAGTCAGAAAGAAACCAGAGAATTTTATTTTTTTAGTTCATACTCTGGCAGTGTTTGAATTACTTTACTATAAAATATATGATTTTTATGATTTCTAGAAGTGTCTTCCATCTTTTTACCACCTTCTTGTTTTATCTATTTCAGTTTAGCCAACTAGATTTTTCTCAGGACTGAAGTTATTTATTCCATATTAACTCTGAAAGTCATATGCATCTCCCAAACTTACTCTCTCTAAACCTCTTTTACACTTTAAATATGACCTTTCCGAGGTCTTCAGCTTATTATTAACCAGATGAAACCATCAGTACATGGACTCCCCCCAGCCAATCCAGGAATTGAATTACAAAAGTACGTTTGAAAAAGAAAAAAAAAAAAAGCTAACTCAATCGCGTCAGTGAAAACATCAACAAGTGTTAGCAGTGCCAGCGTCATGATGCAGGAGGTCAAAGACCCATGCACTCTGCACCAGGAGTCCCAATGGGACTTAACTGGGGCAGTTCCGGTTCTGCCGTTAGGACCAGGAGCACTCCAACCTCAATGAAAGTGCGTAAGACACCGCCATTATCCCCGGATCATTGCCATGGTAGACCCAAACAACTCCAGTCTGTCGTGCCAATGTGTACTTGGGGAGTCTTTAATGCACGGATCATTGGCAAGCTGCGCCATAAAAGCCCTGTAGGAGCCACGGCCGAGCGTGGAGTCAGGGCACACTTGGGGACGCCCCCATGCCTGGATCATTTGCAGCGCATCGTGTCAATGCATACTCGGGGAGCCCTTACTCTGCAGCCTGCCATGCTGAGGAACAATGTACACCAAAAATCCTTATGAAATAGTAGTTACAGTGCATACACAGTATTCACTCTTCTAAACGGCATGTCAGCAAGTTTAGTGTGCGACAAATAACTCCTAAAAGGCACAAACCACTCCTAGAGGCCCAACTTCACACACAGACGGCTGGGCCCTGGAATTGTGGCATGACTGCGGTGGGAGTGCGGGGCTCTCCTTACAGTGAACGAAGGGAGCGGGACAGCGAGTTCACGCAATCTAAGCCTCTGCTGCTCCTCGGTGTTTCAGTAATAATCCCGACGATTTTCTAATTGTTTTCCTGGGCGTCCGATACTGCCCTCTGTCCCTGCCCTGTTCCAAAGCACCTGCAGGCAGGTGAGAAGACATGGCTAGAGGAAAGCTCCTTGGGGCTTAAGGTTCTAGACCAGCACTGTCCAACAGGAACACAATGTGAGCCACAAATGTCATTTTACATGTTCTTTGTAGTCACACTTTTTGAAAAGGTCAAAAGAAACAGAATTAACAGATTTTAATAATATATTTTACTTCACCCAAAATACTATCTTTTCAATATCCAAGCAGTATTTTTAAATAATTGGGAGTTTACATTCTTTTTTCTCATAGAGACTGTATTTTGCCCCGACGGCACATCTCGATCTAGCCTAGCCACATTTCCAAGTGCTCGACAGCCACATGCGGCCAGTGGCTGCCCCGGTGCACGCACAGCGACAGAGGCCCAGGAAAATGAATCCCAGTAGCTTCAATGTTCGCCGGCAACGACCTATCTCAGAGCCAGCGTGTGTGTCTCTCTCTCCACCTCATTTCCTTACCAGCGCCGCTGCACCCGCTGATCAGCCTCTTCTTAGCAGCCAGAGCGGGCGGCTATGCTCCGCAAATATGCATTTTCGGAAAGGGGAGAAAAACTACTTTAGGCCAAAGTGATAGTGCCAGCAGTAGGGCCTCCTTCTTGGAGGTGAAGGGGACAGGGGGAGCTGCGGGGGGAAGGAAAAGGGAGCGGGCAAGGTGCCAAGTGTGAGGGTGGCGGCCTCACTGCCACTAACTTCTTCCCCAAACGTGCTGTCCGCAGGGCAGCGGGCCGTGCGTCCCGGGGGCCTGTGGGGTCACCGACAGCCGGCCGGGCGGGGTCGCTGGTATCCGAGGCCGAGTCTTCCCAGGGACACAAAGGGGAGCGAGGCGGAGACAAAGGCGCGGGGAAAGAAAGGGAAGAGGGCGAAGGCGGGGGCCGCGGGCCGGGCCGGGGGCGGGGGGCGCGCGAGGCGCAGGGCTGCGGCGCTGCGGGGCTGCGGGGCTGCGGGGCTGCGGGCCGCCGGGCGGGGGGCGGGGGCGGGCGGGCAGACAAAGCGCCGGCGGCCGGCGGGAGGGGGCGGGCGGCGCGCGCTCATCCGGGGATTCGCGGGCCGGCCTGCGGCAGGGGGCGGGGGCGGGGGCGGGAGGCTGGGCGAGGCGGGCAGGTCGATTTGAATATCAGGCTCTGCCACACTCCGGGCGCCGCTGACAACTTCATTACCTCCGCGTATAAAAATGACTGCTGGCGAATGCAAATGGCTCGCCCGTCTCAGCCGCCTGCCTCCGCTCTGCCGCCGGCTGCGGGCGGAGGCCCCGGGAGCCGCCGCCGCCCGACCTGACGAACGGCCCGCGGCGGGGCCGGCTCCTCCTCCCGCGCCCCCGCGCCCCCGCGCCGCCGGGACCCGGGACCCCCGCCCGACGCCGGCTCCTCCTCCCGCGCCCCCGCGCCGCCGGGACCCGGGACCCCCGCCCGACGCCGGCTCCGAGGGCCGCGGGGGAGGCCGTTTGGGAAGAGAAACGGGGGCGGGGGCGGCCGAGAACTGCAGATCTGCTAAGATGTGCTCGTGAGTGTTAAGCGAATGCCCTGCCTCTTAACTGTCGTCTCATTAATGTATGGCAATGCCGGGAAAACAGTCCTCGGTGGATGGGATTCGTAACCTTGAACCCTGATGGAAGAGGCTGGACCCCACTGGTCCCCGCCCGCCCTGCCTGGTGATTAATTTGGACGAAAGCATCCCTAATGCCCCCATTTGCGCCTCCTGAGCCAGCAGGCGGCTCCCTGCTCCCCAGGCCTTAGGGTGCACCTGCCACCAGGACGAGGCCGCATCACTGTGCGCAACCTCTCTCCCAATCCAGGTGGGAATAGAGGCAAGTCTTGGACAGAAGGAAAAACAGTCCTTACAGAGCCTCCCTCCCTCCTTTGGCATATAGAAGGAGAGGAGAACTCACTCCCTAGCAAGAAGTCACCTCCTGCCTTGTGACAGCGTCAGTTATTACATGGGGACTCCTTGTGAGCTCCTCTAGAGCAGGAGCTAGGTCATTTTTATTGATAACATCAACGATAGTAAACATTTGCTGAGGACTTACTATGTGCAAAACATTATGCCTACTCCTTTATCTAAATCACTTTATTTTTGCCACAACAACCCTTCTGCTCTCCTGAAAACCGAGGCTTATGGAAGCCTTACAAGAGGCCCAGGGGAACCAGCAGGAAGGGATGGAGATGGGATGGGAAAGTAGGCCTGCTCCCAACAGAGTCTGTGTTCCCAACCATTCTGCAATATTCATTTTATGTGTCTTTCTTGCAGCTGACTCTGCCGTTCTGCACCCCCTTCCTTCAACTCCCCAATCCCTCCAAGACAGTCCTCTCCCTTGTGGCCCAGGAGTAAATCCCAAATCTGTTACAATCAACCTGTTCTTTTGTCAGGGGCTTGGTTGAGAAAAGAACATGTGATCAGTCCTGGCCAATGTCATGGGAGGGGACATCTGCTGGGGGCTTCTGGGAAGTGCTTCCTTGCCCCAAAATAAGGGACACACCGAAGCGCTTCCCGTTTCTTCTGCTGGAAGATAGCTTGGTGCTGTGTATAGTTGTGTCTACCACCTGGTAACCATGGAGTAGCCAGGCAGCAAAACTACTCTTTTTGGAGATAGATTTGCAAGATTCAGTGATGCGGGCAGGCTGAGTCCAAGGACCCAGAGGGAGGGTCCCACAGGACCAGCCAAGAGAGTCCCTGGCTTTATACATGATAGAAATCAAACGCAAGCCAGAGAAAGTGAAAGCAGTTTATTGACTAGCGTGAGTGACAGAGGGTAGCAGACAGAGTGTCTGGGAGACTCGGGAAGGAAAGGAGAGTGAGTCTCGTCATCACTTGGGGTGAGGGGTTTATACTGGAGAGGGGTCTAGGGTACGTGTTGCTTCAGGAATCGAGGACAGGGTCCAGTCAAAGGCTAGTGTCAGGTGAACAATAGGTGTTACTCCGTAAATTACTGAAGGTAGGAGTGTTGATGCCAGGGTCAGCTGAGGTTTGCTTGAAGCTAATATCTGGGAACATGTTAGGGATCCGTCTCTTCTTCCATGTTTTGAAGCCTAAGACAAAACCCAGAGAACGATTAACGGTCTTGCTTCCCCCTTGAAGTGGGAACATAGCTTCTTTGGCTTACTCAGAGGCAAAATATGGAACATGAGTAAGTAGGTCCTAGCAGAAAACCAGCAGAGATGGAGCCTTTCTAAAATGGAGTCCCTTCAGCTTCCCAACCTCCTCAGAACACTTAATAAGAGAGCTAAAGTTTAGGAAAGTCTCACTCTAGTCCCATCTCTACCGGCAGTGAAATCATGCTGCCGCATGTTTACTCAGGACTATATTTAAGTTAATTCCTTTTTGGAACGAGAGAAAATATGAAGAAGTAAACAAATGAAAAACGCCAGAAATTTGGTCATGTCTCTTCCCTGTTCTCTTTCCCTTTCTTCACCAGTAAAATAACTGAAGAGGGTCTGCTCCAGACACTTAAAATGGAAACTCACACTTCCAACTCTTCCTGGGCCCTCACCTCCAACCTCATTCAGTCTCAAGGCTCTAAGCAGTTTTTCCCCAACTCCCTTTGCCTTTAAGGCAGTCCTGTGGCTACACAGGTGAGGTATCTCTTCCCTCCCAGAGCATCAGACCCTCCATCTAACTGTCCTGCACACACACATACAGGGGTCTGAGCTTTGAAATGTTTTCTGCTGTCCTTCAAGCAGTCTTTTTAGGGAATTCGTGTCTGGTTTTGGACATTTTCAAACACAATGGCTACTTAACCAGTCACTTAGTTTCCTTCGGCAGCTGCCTTAAAACATAGAATCCAAATTAGAACAGAAAGTTGATTTTTATTGTTTGTTTCATTAAAACCATGCACACTCTTCATTAAAATATGCAAAAAAAAAATACAAAATCCATGCTATATGCTTTAACAATCCATCCAGAATCAATCGGGTGACTGGCTCCAATCTCTCTCGTATTTCCCTCCGCCGAGGAAAAGAAGCCCTGACTCATTAGCAAGACATTCCGGTGGTGCCACAGTCTGCACCTAACCAGCTCTAGCCTTATCTGTCTGCCATCATATACTCCTAAATCATGCTCTTGCATTTCGTCTTCCATGACATACACTTTAGTATGTTCACTGCACACGCTGTCTAGAATGCCCTTGAACCCCATCTCCAACTATTCAAATACCACTGCTCTTTCCAGGTCCAGATTAAATACCTCCTCTTCCAAAAATCCTTTCCCATTCCTCATATTTTGTGACACAAAATTTTGTTACCTAGTGTTTGTTCTCAGTAATATTTAGCATATGTTCTGAGTGTATTGACACCCAGTGATATAATAAAGTTTCTTGCACCTCTTGTTTTCATTAGGGTAACTTGGACATAAGTAATAGAAAACCTGTCCCTACTAGTTCAAGCAACAAGGAAAATGTAGTATCTCATGGAGGAAGTCTTAAGGTGGCAGGTGCTGAGGCTGATTAATTCAGTGGCTCCATAACGTTAGAGTTGTCAGGGACCCAAGCCGTCCTCGGCTTGTTGATCTTGTCCTTAGCTAGTTCTCCTCAGGGTCTCAAAATGGCTACTGTAGTTCCAGGCATCACCTCAAAACATGCTAAAGACCAGCCAAAAAAGTGGGACTGTTCTTACCTTTAATTTCTTCTGAAGAGTAGGAAAATTATACCAGAAAATTATCTCAGAAGATTTTTTTCTTGTATGTCGTTAGCCAGAATTGGATCCCATGCCTATCTCTAAACTTTTACTGGCAAGGGAGATAGGATTATCATTACTGATGACTAACCAGGATTTATCCCTGAGTTATACAGGGGGGTGGGGAGAGGCAGGGGATAGGACAGGGCACTATCAAAACAAAAGGTAAATTTTAGCTAGTCTCCCAGTTATCTATTATGCATACAAACCCTCCAAAAGCTTATTGGCTTACAAAAACTATTTTTCTCAAGATTCTGGACTGGGTGAGGAGAGGGGTAATTCCCAAGGAAGAAGGGAGGTTTGGTGGGTAGGCAACCAAAAGTATCTCTCTCATGCAACTTATGATGGTTTATTTGAAAGTCAGAAATAGTCACATTTATATTATTCTTTTGGTTGTTCTTTCTACAAAATATGTGTTCAAAATGGTATATGTTAATTTAGTCAGTAACAAGTTGATTGGCTAATTCAACTGATAATTTTCTTCGTGGGTGGTAAAATGATGTTTGGTCTTCCCTAAATAATGAACCATGTTATGGACTCCACATAGGGGTTTGCCTTTAATAACATTAATGCTTGACTGGATTAAGCCATTTGTGCCCTAAATTCTATAGACTGTAGACATCTGAGAATTAAGGTCAGAAGGATAGCAAATAATTCCTTTGATAATTTGATAAGTGGATTATTCACCATCAGAATATTACCCTTTTGAAAATGTGTAAATCACAAGCTTTTGAGGATAAAATTATTAAGTAAGCATTCCCCCCTTTTAATCAGGGCAGGTAGGAAATCGCAACATAACAGTCTTTGTTTTGTAAAGTCACTTCCTTGCCCTAAATAGGCCTTCCAATTCTCTTTTAACTTTCATATGTGTGAGGCAAGAAATTCTTTAGTGGTGGCTATAGTTAGATTCCTATCATTTACTAAAATAATACATGTACTTCCTTTTGTGATGATATCTTCCATCTTCTAATAAATGTATAACTGCCTCTATAACAATACCCGGTCAGATGATGAATGTTCGTATAATAATTCTACCTCTCTCCCCCATTTTTTTTTTCAAGAAGCTCATGGAACTGCTTGCACAAAATCAGATGTATTTCAGCATCATCTCTGTGAATCATAGACCATGAGGGTCGGAATCACAGCCCTCTAATCTGATAAGTGAAGAAAGTGAGGCCCTAGAGTTCAGAGAACCTTCTGGAAGTTGCCAGGCCAGTCAGTGGCAGAGTAGGATCTCATCATCTTGTTTTCTGGTTGATTGTCCTCTATACCACACCCTGCTATTAATGATTAACATTAAGGACAGAACTAACTCTAACCAGGTTATCAAGTCAAAGTCCTGAATAAGAGTAGGCTTTGGGGCACCTGAGAAGCTCCATGGGTTAAGCCTCCGACTCTTGATTTCGATCAGGTCATGATCTGATCTCACGGTCGAGGGATCAAGCTCCACATGGGGCTCTGCACTAAGTGAGAAGTCTGCTTCTCCCCTCCCGTTCCCTCTGCCCCTCCCCCCCCAGTCCTACACGCTCTCCACCCCCCAAATAAATAAATAAATCTTTAATGGAAGAGTGGGCACCCACTCAGCCAGGTCCCTGCAGGGGCAGGGTCTGGATTATATCCTCCAGGTGTACGCTCACCCCCAGCCCGGTACTACCTACATCCCGACCCACAGGTACCTAAGGTCTCCTCAAGTCCCTGTTTCAATACGTGTCCCAGCAGCCCACGCAAACCCAGGGTGCAAGGAATGTCCTTGACAAGGTGCTTCCCTCCTCCACTCCTCAGCGTGAGAAGAAAGGGACAAACAGAAGAACACATCTGTAATGCATTGCTTGCCCT